ATGTCGTGATGTGTTTTGTCATTTTGTGCCATTTTGGAACACATGCCTTTGGTTATCTTACCAATCCTATGTCTCCAGCCTGATCTTGACCTGCCCTTGGGCATCCAGCTGGCAGTGACGTTATGAGAGCTCCAGGCCCTGGCTTCTACAGCTGCTGCTCCTTCTCTTCCTCTGTCAAACACACATGTGTAATAAACACAAATACACTAAAAGCTCTTGTTTACTTACAGTGGGTTTGCTATAGGCTCTCCAACTCCTCACTTTTTCCCATCTTAGTCACTCAAAGCAGTCATTGTTCCTCTTAAAGTGATGTCACTGGGTACTGATGTCATTTCAAAGTAAAACACCACTTTTAAAAATATTACCACAACTAAGATTACTGCTAGTATTTGCTACTACTTTTTAACTACAGTTATGAACTTTTGTCGAGTATATTCTATGAGCGCATTTACACATAAGATTTTTTTTTTTAAATCATTCAATGTTTTACTACAAAATGTACAAACAAAGTTGCTAGGTCAATTTAGTCCATTTCAGCAGAAAACAAGAATGACAGTATTCCATAATGACCCTGAATTTTCTGAATGCTTGGAGTCATGTTGAAAGTATAAGCAGATTTGAATTACAAAATCCTTGGCTTGCAGAAAAAGCTCTGTTTCTTTCAGGTATTTTCATAATCTTTGTAAACAGCATGCTTGTGTTCAGGGGGCATAATTGAAAAACAGGCTTACTTTTGCTACTCCACCTTAAAGAGGATGATTCACCAGCTGCAAATAATAAAGTGACTCGGATATGGGTCCAGATCGGAGACAGGAGCCTGAAGCAAGTGAGACGACCAACTAAAATGTCAGTCTGTTTGGAATGCAGGGATAGAAACATTATTGTACCAAGGACAGAAAATAGAGAATATAATGGACAAATATACTCCTAATAATGTGCAAAGCTTATCCACGCATCTACTAAAATTGACATTGTATTTTTAATGTACATCTTTCAGGAAAAACATTACAGTCTTTTGAATAGAGGGGAGTATTTTTATTGTGGCCTCTTTATTTACCTGACAAATAAAGACAATAGGGTGCATTGATTGGTTTTCACGTAAAATGAAAAGGTTGGCATTGCTTTTTGAGAACCTGGGTATTAGCTGCCAATTTTTAAAAAATCTAAGTTCATCAGAGAATAATTTGGTAGAAACTTAGGACTAAAAGGACTACAGAAAAGGACTAAAAAAAACTTTGAAGAAAATATCCCTAAATGTACAGCGAGTGAGTAAAAAATATATACCTCCACAGTCTCAAAAATTAATCACTATCACTACATTTATCACTACTACACAATATGTATGTCGCATTCTGTCAGTAGGCCTCCTGTCTGCTATCCCCAAACCTTATGGCCATACCAGTTTGTCAAGGAAGACCAGGTCTGGTTAGTACATGGACCTTGTTGTGTCCTTAGGCAACACTTCACCCAAATTGCCTAGTATGAATGTGGTGTGTGAGTAAAGGGGCTGTTAGCACAGTTTGACAGTCTCACTTCCATCAGTCTAAACCAGGGCAGCTGTGGCTACAATAGTCGCTTACACGGTGCTTTATAAGTGCTTTGGATATCTTGAAAGGCGCAGTATGAATCCAATGGTTGGTTAATTAATGAATTAATTATGTACACCCATATTTACACATGGAGAGCAAGGTGACAGGCTAAGTAATACAAGTTGTACCTCTGCCCCAATCCTATCCAAATATCACTCTCAGAAAGAATCTCTACTTTATCAACTCTGTCATTTTCTTAAATCTTCCGCCTCTAATATTTTAAATACACATTAATTTTCCGAGTATCTCTTTTGAAAAAGAATAACCAATGCCTTTTTACAATATTCCAAACAAACAAGAATGAGAAACGGCAGTTCCAAAATCTCATTAAACTGAATGAGCACACATGCAGTGGTATGTAATGCTGCAGTGAGGTGACAGAGCCTATAATATGTAATGTAATAATGACAATATAATTATTGCATTACATATTATAGGTCTTGGCATTTTTTTAGCCTGAGCTGTAATCACTGGTGGCTCTGGTTTACTGCAGGCGCACTGTACATCATCCAGAACCAGCACTGCAAGGCTCAAGGTGATCTATGCCTGCAAAATGAGAGGCCTAATTAATAACGCTAGTGTCTGTGTGCCACCTTTGGCCTAGCACTTATTATATGTGCATTAGCAGCTTGTGTTTGCTACTTGTTAATTAACCGTTACTTAATAAAGAGCAAGAAGGGAAGTAGTTGCACATGAAGTTTGCCTGTAGATGGTGTCACCTAAACTTAGAAGTAATGAAAATGTTCACTACTTACAGGGGCAGTGTGTAAGTTTTCACCACAGTGTGCCAAACAAAAAACAAACATGTATTTTTACTATGACCAGAGACATTTCAGCATTTCCTCAGATCTGACCTGTAACTTGACTTGATGACATTGTCTGCTTGTCTTCATGTGGCTTAAAAAAGTTTAATGTCATACTGTGGAATATTCCATGCAAAGCAATAACATCTCCACTGAGACAAGTAAGGACCCTCCATCAGAAAAGTAACAGGGCACCTTTGCACGTAGGTCTAAAGAATACTAATACAGTACAATACATCACACCATGCTGTTCGGTGAAATGTACCATGTTCCCTTATTCAGCAATGATCTCTTATAGGACTATAGAGTAAACAAACTGAAATAAATGTAGCCTACACTAATTATAAAAAGAGGCTAGTCTAGTAATCTACAACTTGCCCCCCTCTGATTTTATCCCACTTAGTAGTAGTAGCAGCAGCACTGAGTAGAATGAGTAGCTGTGGTCTATGAGAAGTAGCCCCGTAGTAGTAGTAGTAGCAGCCTAGCAGCAGTAGTAGTAACACCCCCCAAGCACCACCCAAGCCAGGACCCCAAGGAGCAAATTGCCCTTGAGGACACCCGGAGACTGCGGGCCAAGAATGGATGGCTGCACTCACGGCTATAAATTCACCGCTTCCTAACTATCTCATTCATCATATGCACACTACACAGCTCCCACCCACACTTCTACCTCCCATAGTAAATAAGGCAGGCAGAGATAGGGTGAAGAGCGAAAACATGAGATAAGTCTATCGCTGGAATAGCCATATGACAATGTGCAGCAGCCCTCTATTTCACCTTGGATTGTTTGAATGCATTTGGTTTGCAGTCTTCCTCCGGTGCGCTGCAAAAGACATTTTCATATCTTACCCCCTGTTGAGCACAGAGAAGTTTCTCTGTAGATACGTGGCACCTGGCGAGGCTGCGTTCAGATCAGAGCACCACACATGGCTTAAAGAGGAAGACTGATGCCCAACATGACATCCCAAAACACTGTGGACAAATAATTAAGTCTTATCAAAACATTATTTAAAATAATAATAATAATAACAACAATAATAATAATAATAAAAATCACTAGCCTATTTCAGAAGAGCTGATCTAGATCTATTCAAAATATGTAGACTAGCCTGCAGATAAACTTGCTTTTACTTAAGTTTAACACATTTGTCATCCAAGTGAACTAATGAAACGTCTTATTTTATTATTTGGGCTACTTGAACAATTGGATTGCACAAAAAGATAATTTTTGACATTTTTTGGTATAGGCAGACAGGCTTCGGACTCCTTTCTTCATTTTATGGGTCCACATTTCAGTTCAGTTAGTTTTAGGGTTTTATCACCAAATCAATCATAATTATTCTCTCTGCTTGCCAACCGTAGCCTGATGCCCAAATATCCCATTATGAAAAGTAGCGGACTAGTAACGTGCTCTTGCTGCCACCAAGTGGTTTTGAAAAGGAATTGCAGATTAATAGGAATTTCCCCCAGATGAAAACATGGTAGGCAGTGTAGCTCAATTACATATCCAAGCAAGGTTGTGTTTTTTGTACTTGTCAGCTGCTGAAAGGGTTTGATCATTTTAAAAATCAGCTTTATTCCTTGCATTGGAATCTTGAAAACTGACTTTCTTCTCAACGTCCATAGTCATCAGCATCAGTTTTGTTTCATTTTGGTTTACTTGATCTTATCAGGACAGTTACAAAATGGTAGGCAACTATTACTTTCTTACAAAGGTGATCTCTGTCAAAAGCACCAAGCCTTTCCCTGCATGTAATGGAATCCAGTGTTTGGATGTTTAGAGCAATAAAATGTATTACCTACAGAGCACAAGATAAAGCGATACAATTTTAAAGTCATCTGTAAGGAATGCTCCATCTTCATGCATTTGTTCAAACCAAAGTTAATATAGTACAGGCAGGCCAATGGAACAGCTCTCAACAGTTTGGTTTCATCAAAGCAAGTTGTTTTTCCACTTTACAAGGCAGCATCTAAGTGCTCTGGGCCCAAGAGAGGCAGGCTGCACACTCACAACCCTTTGGACAGAGCAGTGCATTAGCGGCTGTTACTGCAGCTCATCAGGCTCTGAACGGAGGTCAACTCTGAAGAGAAACATCAGAGACTGGAAAGGTCACACTGGACTCAAGTCTGTAGGAGCAAAAAGCACCACTTTAACAACCTGCCAGCAGTAGTCAGGCCACCAGGGACCTCTGCAACAAGGATGATGATCAATTACTGAAGTCTTACAAAACACTATGAATTTTAGATAACAGGCTTTATATCCATGCCTGGAAACTTTCATGGTATGGCATCATTCTTATCCATGTTCATGGTAATAAGCAGGCGGCATCACATATTTGATATTTGAGAAATAACCACACTTAATTACCAGATAGCAGTTTAATGCCATAGTGGAACATCCTCAACCCAGGGACATGGCAGGTGACCCTTCTACCAGGAGAGATGGTGCACCTTTGCCTTTTTTGGTTTAAAACTATTCAGATTTCAAAAGCTCGGGTTTATCCCCGCACAACTCATAATATGCATCTTTTTGCCATATAAACACATAATCCCTAATCCCCCCCTTCCCATCCCCAAAAGTAACAGTAATCAAAAGGAGGCCAGCAGCTTTCCTTGGTTGTTTTTATTTGCAGTTTGTACATGTTAGAAAAAGAATCCAAGGATTTTGCCTCCTGTGTGTTTCCGTCTGGCCTCTTCATGATCCATGATGCCAGCTGAAGTGGTCAGCACTATGTATCTGTGGAAACAAAGTATAACATTTGCTCAAGTAAGATCGCTACAAAATTACACCTTGTTGGATAATTGACATGCCATTTCTTTCTAGTAAAGTAATGAGCCATTTTTAACCAAAGTGGGTGACAGTCAGCAATCTGCAAGATGAGCATAATGTAATTCACCATTACTTTATAGCCCAATGCTTGTTCAAAATATGAACAGTTAATAAAATACAACATTCTCAGTACAAATGTTTGCAAAACCACGAGTAATTTTTATTCAACATGATCCATTTGAGCAGTTTACTATCCTGATAGTCAACTATTAAATACATACTAACTACCTATATTTTTTTTTTTTACTTTCAGTCTAGGCATAGTGCATGTACTCACAATTGAGCAGCTGATATTTTGCATGACATCAGTCTATGCATCTGCAAAGCAGTTTGATAGCAAAATACTAATTTATGATTACATTTAGGTAGTACTACTAATTTAGTTAGCAAAAGCAAGGTCAATGTCAGCTGATATTGCATGTGTTGTTTACTATGCCTCAGTCCAGTCTGCCTCTTCATGATCCATGATGCCAGCTGAAGTGGTCAGCACTATGTATCTGTGGAAACAAAGTATAACATTTGCTCAAGTAAGATCGCTACAAAATTACACCTTGTTGGATAATTGACATGCCATTTCTTTCTAGTAAAGTAATGAGCCATTTTTAACCAAAGTGGGTGACAGTCAGCAATCTGCAAGATGAGCATAATGTAATTCACCATTACTTTATAGCCCAATGCTTGTTCAAAATATGAACAGTTAATAAAATACAACATTCTCAGTACAAATGTTTGCAAAACCACGAGTAATTTTTATTCAACATGATCCATTTGAGCAGTTTACTATCCTGATAGTCAACTATTTAAATACATTCTACTAAACTACACCTATATTTTTTTTTTTTTACTTTCAAGTCTAGGGCATAGTGCTATAATGTACTATTTAATTGTCAAGACAGATGTGAGCAGCTGATATTTTGCAGTGACATCACACTGGTGGTGTCTATGCATTTTCTCTGGAGCAATGTCCAGCAGTTACCATGACGACAATGCAAACAACAGCAAACATAACCAAAACATTTAAGGTTAAAAATACTAAATGGATTTAAACACCACATTTCAAGAAGCCTGTAGTCACTACAATTGTTTATAGGCCTGTTGGTGCATTTGGTTTATCAAAAACTGCCTGACTAAAGGAAAAACCACTGGCTAATCTTAGCAACTAATTATGAAGAGATGTTTAAAAAGCACAAATCAGCTCTTCATTAGTTGTTACAGCTAAGACAGTTCTTTACTGTCAATCAGATTATGTTACAAAACTCAGATTCAAGTCCAATTTGAGTAAGAGCTTCAGACTGAACAGCGCCCATAGTTCGCATCACACCCCCAGGGAATATTGATGGCATTTGCTGCTAAGCATTAGTACAATACCACTAGTTTGATGACCTGGAGAGTAAACTGATCCACAAAAGATGAAAATCTAAATGTTGCAGTTAGGACAGTTTTGCTCATGCCAGTAATGCATGGCTCCTCTACTTCCTGTCAAAAGAACTCATCAGGATTCAAACAGGGCTCATAAGGTCTACAACTTTTTTGCAAATGGTAGGGAGCATCGGGCACCAAGGCACCCTTTAATACGAACTGTATGTAACACACAAGTTTCAGCTATATAAACATGCTGTGCTTTGCTATGCTGAGTGCAACAGAGGCAGGCACACAGATAAAGATGAACTAATTTCGCCCCTCAGACAAAAAAAAAAAAAAAAAAGTAAAAAATCCAAACTGCTTTGCAGTGTCCGTTCACTAAATATACAAGCTCAAAGAGCATGGCAAAAGTAGCAAATCTATGGAGTACTGTTGCCACAATACTAAAATTTTATTGATATAATGGCAATGGACAAAAACAAAACTGTCTTTAATTTTTAACCATGGGGCATTATATTCTGTTATAGCACAAGACTAATCTAAAACTTCATGAAAGATAAAAAGATCAAAATGTTTTAGTATCAATAGTTGTGCAGAAGTACATCTAGTCTTGGTATAGATTTGTGTCATATTTGATACTTTTGACAACCCGACACTGGAGAAAAGATAAAATTGATCAACTCCAACATAATTTCCAATTAGAGCACAAATCATCAACACAGAGCCCTTTTGATTAAAGTAGTTTTGTGTTGCACCAACAATGCCTGTCTACTGGAGTACTGTGACCACAGGGAGTAAACATAACAAAAACGGAACTGACCATTATAGATATCACAACTCAAGACAGCCCTAACAGTCATTATGTGTGAATCAGTAAATACTAAATTATATCCGAGAGAGATCAATTTGGAAGTTCACACAACCCCAATTAAGAAACACCAATACAGGGAACATATTCCAAAAAAGGGTGGGGCTGCATGTTATCAAAGCTCAGGACCATAGACTGTACTCGCTAGACACTGCAATCCATGGGGACTCCTTTTGACCCTAGCTCCAACTGACTTGCATAGGAATAGTCAGCCCTCTCTAACTGCTGCAGTGAGCCTCGTCATTTTGGTCTTAAAATGTTCCCATTAACCCACTTTACATGATCATGGTGTTTTTATTTCACCATTTTGTCCATTAATAAATTCCTGGACCCAAGCACTATGGGTGACATCACACTCCCTTTGACCACTTCTTTATGCAGTTTATACTCAGGATCAGATGCTACCAAGTGATAAATTGATGAAGGTGGTTCTCACCCGAACTGTCTTGAAGGGAGCAGGTTGTTCTGCCACTTCTCCAGATCCTTCAGCTGGAGATCAAAACGTGGGCTGATCACGCCACACTGGAGGAACAAACAGCATTTTTATGATTTATTTGAAACCGTGTACATCAAAAGTGAAGTTTTCACTCTTTACCTTGTTCAGTCTGCCTGTGAGATTGACAACTATTTTTCCGGCTCTGTGGTCGTCAATAATCTCAAACTCACCAATGTAACCTAGAAAACAAATAATTTTAAACATATGAATAGTGCTCCATAATCACAGCAACTAATGTCAAATTTGAGTGATGACATTAAGTGAACCCGCGTTTCCTACATTGTGAACAAATTATTGCCAATGAGACGAGAAAAACGCTACTGCTACTAACCAAAGATGGGTGAAGACCTCATTGTCTCAAGGACACGTGGGATTTCATTCTTCTCCCATGTCACAGCATTTTTACTATGGATTAATCCACAAATGCTACTCACCGTGCTTCATCATGACGGTTAGGAAGCGCACAATGACCTTGGAGCAGGGCCTGATGAGCACCTGACGTTTCCCACGCTTCTCTGCATTGTTGATGCTTTTTAAGGCATCTGCAAGAACGTTCATGCGCACCATGATGCCTGTAGAGGAAGGAAAAGTTATTACACAGAAATGCATTTTTTATTTATAAATTCAGTGCTTGTAACAAACAGCACGGACATAGTAGGTACATTAACACAAAATGTTGATGCTGTAATGGGACATCATCACGGTTATATACAAGAGTGCCATAGCACTCTTGTATATAACCGTAGCATTCAACAGTCAAGTAGCCAGAATTGTTCAACCAAGAGTAAACTTCTAGTTTTGTATCAGAAATAAATAAACAGAATAGAGCACACACTGTGCTTTCTGGACAATAAAACAGCCTTCAAAGTGTGCTCATCTGAAAGCATGGCTCTACTGACACTGTAGCTCCTGTTAGCCTTTAGGCTAAAAACTTGACGAATACCACACCAAAGGTTCACTATATGGCTCAGTCGACAGATATAGCTTTTTCAGAGCAGCATTTTACGGACACCACAGTAATCACATTCTCCTGTATGAACTACATACTCCAAAAGCTAACACTCCTGAAGGCGGCTTGAACACAACGATTCAGGGGCCGAGGGAAGAGCGCACGGAATGAAATGTGCAATTAACTAATTATCTTCGCAAATATTAACACAATAATCACCCATGAGCACTTTACAATGTGTGAATTATATCCATATTCCTTTCATGTGCGGGTTGATGATCAGATGCTTGAGATATTTGATAGATTGTATGAAAGGCTGTAAAAAGACATCTTACCGGTTCTGCAATATGGCGGAAAGAGGAAGTAGAAGAAATTGCAGTGCATTATGGGAAACAACCCCGAGACCTTTTCTACGCGAGATCCATGGCTCTATTGGGCGAGATCACTAAGTAAAAGAAGTACAACAGACACTGTTTTAAATGCGTTTTGTGTCTCTAATTATTATGGTCACAATAAAGTGTCTACCTAAGAAAATTAAAGTAAGTAGTAAATTTATCGGCGACTCATTTTACTACTAAAGGTTCAAATTTCTTTCTACATTCATTCATTATGTGAGATGAATTAGCTTATTTAAGCTATGTAAGGAAAAAACAAACATTAAATGCTAAAATAATAGAAAAATACATTTTAAGAACAGGCTCAAGATATACAGTCTGTGCTCAAGACCCATCTGTTTAGCTTAGGTTTTGATTAAAATGTATTATTACGTGTTATATTTAATGTATTTGTTCATTTACATGGCTTACTATTTTATATTATGCTTTTGGTGCTATTTTATATTGCAGTTTTTAGCTTTTAATCACACACAGTCTATGCTTTTAGGATTATGCTTTTTTTTAGGATCTCCAGTGTTTCCAGTGAGCCCTCTGCATCTAAAGCCGACCTTGGCATTGTACAATTTGGAATTACAAAATAAATATATTTTATAATTTTACCTCATGCATGGACTAAAGCTGCATTGCTTTTATTTTAGAGGTGTTTTTTTTTTTAGTTTTTTTTTTTTTTTTTACATTTTTTATAAGACAACCTAATTTTTTCATTGCTTAGTCATAACATATACTCATACCAGTCTTACCAGCTTGTCAAAACAATAGTATTTACTGCCTTTTATAAAGAAATACTTATATACTAATATATTTTCTGTTTCTCATCTGGCCTCAAGGAAAAAATTATTTCCCACCCCCGGTCCGGAGTGATCGATTACTGCTATATGAGACCTGACCTGTCCAGTGCATGCGCTCCTGGTGGAGGGCTGTTGTTTCAGCCCATACACTGTTTCAGCCTCATCTTTCCCCTGGGCCCTGTGCTGGTGTCCTGGTGGCTGCGGGCTGCTCTTTGCTCCTGGTGCATATGGCTCCTTTGATCATTTTTCCTTAGTTGGTTTACTCTTGAAAGTCAAAGATCTCAGTGCAGTTGAACAGGTGGACAGGTAGGGTCAGCAGATCTGTGTCAGGGCAGTTTGACATAGCTACACTGAGTTGTGTTTTGCTCCATTCATGCAAGTTTGAGTAACCCTTTACTCTGATGACTCTGTCATCTCCAAAGCCCAAAATGCTCTGTTTCACATTGTGATGTCATTAAAGCAGTAGTTTTCAAATTGACTGCTACCTGCCATTCAGTAGACTGGGTTCCAGGGGCTGAAATTATCCAAATAAATCTTAGTGTGGGGGGTTAGAGAACACAGTGGATCACGTCCTGTGTTACCACATGACAACACAAGGTGGAACAGTGTTTTCTATTTGAGAGAAGAACTCAGCTTAAATATGCAGGAATTGTGTGTTAAACATGTGTGAATGAAACAAAACACAACTCCAGGTATGTTTTTGACATGGAAACAACATTATAAAATAATTCAGAAAACAGAGTAATTTGGACCCTTTAATGACTAAAGCAGTTGGTGATGCATTTTTGTTTGAAAAGCGCTTTATGGGCTTAATAAAGTTTAATTCAAGTTTGACTGATAATAGATTTTCATTGGAGAATACATATCTAGGAGCCAGGGGCTGTAATCGATACAGTAGAAGATGGGCATACAGTCTAATCCTGATGTCTTAAGACATGTATCGACATAATAGATCCTTTATTGTGATAGGCTAGGGCACCTTTAAGTCTTTTAAAATGCAGTGATACACTGACTAACTTTAGTTGTTTGAATTGTAATGTGTGGCATTGTACTGTGGAAAATGCTTTTATTCTAGATCCTGAACTACCTGATTACATTGCCTGTTGTATCATGACTATAATCAAGTATAAGGACTATAATCCCTAGATTTTATTTACATACATTTACATAGGAGATTGATCAATATTAACATTTACAATGGGGATCCTATTATTCCCCCCTCCCCCCAAAAAACAAAACATAACAAATATACAAACAAATAAAGCCTTGTGGTTATTGTTTTCATAAAAGAGTGAAATAATTTTTATTTACTTCAAACACAACACTGAGTAATTACCATTAAATACTACCTTTTTTATTAAAACACATAATGCAAGCAAATCTCTGTGGTAAAATCCCCAGACTGGCATAAGTATCTCATGCTCTGGGACTAATGATAAGTATATCATTATCACTCTACATTTAAAATATAGCTGTTTATAGACAGCCTAATTTATAAATTAGTTATGTCCTGTGTCCAGTAGTGGGCACTACACCATTCTCTCACTGCCACATAGGCTACCCCAGCCAAGTCATCTTTGGCTTACCCATGGAGTATAATGGAATGCATACCAGCAACAAGTCCCCAGATTTATGTACCGTGTCAATGGTTATTTGACATGTGTTAATTTAACACCAAGCTTATGCATGTCTCTCACCACTGTTCTTTTTATCTTAGCCCCCATTGCTAATCATGCTAACCAAGGAATCCCCATCTTCTTGTGGATCTACCCCGAGACTCTGGAGGTCCAGTCCCAAGGCTACTAGCATCTGTAGAAGGGTGAGCTCCTGCTGGGTAGCCTGATCCACCAAGGCAGGGCAGGTGGGGTTGCACTGGGGCCACTGGCAGGTGTCTACCAAGTGGAATGGGCAGCCTCTTGCAGGGGTCCTGTTGTTACGCACTGCCTCTAGATTCTTGTCCCAGCATTGCAAGGCTCGTGGCAGAGAAGTGCCCTTTACTTGGAAACTCATCCAGTTACTAAAAAACAACAAGTTACAAAACTTGTTAAGTGCAACAGGTAAACTTCAAAATATAAAAACATATGTTTGAGGAAAATTTCCTTGACTTTAACTAAACTCCAATAGTGCGTTACCTTTTAGTAATCATCGTATGTGAGAGGCAGGATGGAGCAAACACAGCTCTAAAATAGAAACAGATGCAGCGTACAATAGGTTCACATATATATGTATATATGTTTTATGTGTGTGTGTGTATGTATCTCTCTCTCTCTCTGTCTCTCTCTCTGTCTATATATATATATATATATATATATATATATATATATATATATATATATAGAGAGAGAGAGAGAGAGAGAGAGAGAGAGAAAGAAAGAGAGAGAGATAGAGGTAGATAGAGATAGATATAAATATAGATAGATATGACGAGTTATAAGCAATATGGAATACATACGTAACATCACTGAGAGATGTCTTCAGTTCCCGACCCAGGTTCTGGATGTACTGCCATTGTTCCGGAGTCATCCGCTGGCTCCCCATGTAAATGTTCTCCACTCTCAGTTGCTCCTCGTCAAACAGCCACTGCACCACAAACAGTGGGGCTACACAAACAAACATGGCACATATTAAAAAAAAGACTAAATGGCACAGAAGTTTTATGAATGAGAGTATGGATTTTACATGTCATTGTAGAGTATAATTTATGGCCAAAGAAGCACTGCCATTCTTCTCCTTTCTTATAAAGTTGTCGACATCTGTTGGGAACAACTCCATTCCACAGTCTGAGAAAACAATGTCCATGTAAACAAAGAGATTTAATGAATGAAAAAGAGTTGTAAAGAGCCTTCACCTGAGTCCCATCTTGATGGCGTCTTCAGGGGAACATGAAACCGTCTCAGGGCAGTTTGGAGACCTTTGTTGTTTACTCTCTAGAAACCAGCCTGAATCTACCAGGCCACGGACCTGTGCCTCTGTCCCCAGCTGCTCCAGCTGAGCAGCCACTCTGTCAATATTCAGTAAGACACCAGTCCCACCTGCACTGTGGATGAACAAACAAAATAAATATACAGTGGCTTTTATCAAGTCATACAATGCAACCCTGTGCTGACAGTTACATTGTTAAGGAACTTTAATGTCGCCAATGTTATCAGGGATGCTGCTGAAAAAGGAGGTCAGTGCTTACTGCTAAGATCTTCACTTGAGCCTGAATGCAAAATGGCATAGCTTCAGTTCATGACTAAATAAAGGACACTTACAAGTGTCTGCTGTTGACAGCTGAGATTAAGGAGCTCACCTTGTACCAGTCAGCATGACAACCTTGGCCTGCTTTATTCCTTTAGGGATCAAGTCTTTGATGACCTCACGAATGATCAAGGATCCCATGAAGGTGTATTCAGCTGCAATCAAATACTGTTAACAGTGATCTGGATGTATTGATTATCTAATTTATTTTTTTTTGTGTGTGTGTCTTATTATTAACTATAGATAAATACAAAAATACTCAAAATACTCAATGTGAGTCCTGTAGTGAATTAAAAAGCATACTCGTATTTGCATTTTGGTCTTTCTCCTTCTCTCTGCCTCTTGGCCTTGGAGGTGGGTTTGGAGCAGGTCCTGTTCCACTCCACACATCACTCGAACAATATGGAATAAATCTGTGTGAACAGAAATGTTCACACAGATGTCATCAATAACTCAAATAGAGTTATTGATGACATTGTGTGGAGAAAACAATACTTACACAATATTAGCATTATGCCAATGTGGATTTTCCACAGCCTGAAAAGACAATATGCCACTCCCTGTAAATTAAAAAATTCAATTTAGCTTCCCAGTACATGTGCTCCATTGAAATGTACATAAACAAGGCCAACCTGTCTTTGTTTGAGGCCACGCCGTTGAGCTCATCAGCCGTGGGATATTTTGGTACCTGAAATCACAGGTCTCTTTGCTGTAGCAGCACCAGCCTCCTAAAAATACAAGCACTAAAATTAGGGTGTCATATCCGGCACACAGCTCTTTAAGTGGTCCCTGTTTTTAGCCCATTACACAGGCCTGTGGGGTATGGTGAGGATGCACCTGCAGTTAAACCTACTCATAACCACATTCACGCATTCAAATGACAAAACAGAAATTTTAAATGAGCTGAAAAGTCTCTCACATGAACACATGAACTTTGCTGTTACACAGGCTTTTCTTAGGTAGTGTCACATCATATTTAAAATAAAAATATGTAATACAATGAAAACACAACCAATAATCAAAGTGACCAGAAAAGAATAAGGTAATGTCCCCTCAAAATTCCAGTTAGGGCCTCACACCAAACCAAGCTAACCTTCGAGACCAAATTAACCACTTGAATTTTTGAATACTCACCTTCCAGAAATAACAGCCATCGACGGCTCCCTCTGAACTCTCTTAGGTAAAACCTGTGGTACAACAAAAAAGCCAAAATGAGAAGCTGGTTAACAGCTATCTAGAGACAAATTAGAAGATAAGAAATGACTAAAAAAAACAGAAAAAGAAAGTTTAAAGATGAGAGGTGATTTGTGAGAGAGATGCAGTCTCACCCTGCAGCTGTCCCATCGTTACATGTGACCTGTGTGTTTTTAAGGAAGTGCAGCCTCATCTCCTCAGCCTGTTGTCCAGGGCTCCTGGTGCTGCCAGCCCCTACAGGAGCTGCTCCTCTGTTCCCATTGCCTTGTTCTCTGCTGGAGACTGCCGCCGCAATACTTCCAGTGCTTCTGGACGGTAGATCTACCTCTGTGGAGGACTGGCTCACATCTGCTCCCTGTGCCCCACCAGTCTTTTTGGTGGACTTACCACTTGTCTTGACATTGTTCTGGCGGTTGTTCTGGCAAACAATTGCCCCAAGCAAAAGTAGAAAAGCTACAAGGCCAAGTATCTTCATATCTATGGAAACGAGCATGTCAGTGTTTTCAAAATATTTCATTCAAGTCCTTTTGTCCTAGTCTTTTGTGTTAACAAAATAACATATACACATAAATGCCTGAGTTAATCCAGACAGACTTACCTTGTGTGGAACAGTGGTGCTGGTGGGACAGAGGCAATGTTCAGGTGCAGCAGAGAGTGGTGGCGATCAAAGAGAAGAAGTGCTTGCTTGGGTTTTGATGACGACTCAAATCAGCGGTCAGCTTTATAGAGCCACCATATGGATCAGATTTCCTGCTGTTTTGTGGTGGAGCTTCTGCCAGGGCCTTAGGTAAGCAGCTGACGACACAGCGAGGGGAGGTCCTGATGCTCTAAGAGGAGAGCATAACACACATTTCTCTGGCATACTTCACATCTTGTGCACACACTCACTACAAACACTTTCCCATTGGAGCAAGGCTTCAGCTGCAGCTCTTGAGTGTCCACCTCTGATGGTCAGTGATTTGATTTAAACATCTACATCACTGGCATAACTGCATGGACCTTTTGTGTGGTATGTGACCCCAGGGTCATTGGAGCACACACCTCAAACGGTCTTCGACACAGGAATGAAGACGAGTGCAGGTTGGAGAGTGGTCAACACACGGAGCAGGTGCATGACATCATGCCTGTGGCATCAGGCCCATCATGCAACATCACTGCTTTCGCTTATGTTCTATGATGAGGATTTGTTGTTGTTCATCGCAGATAAAGTAAGCTAAATATGTAGCTTTTAAGTGTCATCATCAGTAAGTATAAAACACACCATTGCGTCCATCTTGACAGTGAAATAGAAAAGTGCAGTTTGCATTTATGAAGAAGGCGAATCTGACACTGATCCTCTGGGATGGCTGTGGGGTGACGCACCACTGATCTCTGAAAGATCACAAGCTCTAGGACTGTAAAATTCTCATCAATGAAATGCACACCATCCTAACTTGTCAATCACAACAATTCATGATCTCTTGCTAACTGCGGCGCTAGGGCCTGTATGGGGGTACATAAGGTCTGCAGGATAGCAACAACAGGGACACTAGAATCCAAAACTGGACTCACTCAATTTAGCAAATTTAAAGAAGTATCTGAAGAAAACACATAACAAGTTCCTAATAATATATTAATATAATGATAGACCATAGTTATTATCAGAATTATATTGTAAATGAGAGATTGTAAGCATGTAGCTCAAGTACAGTGAATTGGAGCTACTGAACATTTCTTCATTCCTTAAGTTGTCTGAAGCTGCACCATCTGTCTTCCAAGAAATCAGAGCTACAGTCTGGTTTACAGATATCTCAAATACTTAAAATCAAAAAATATTGCTGTAAATCTTTCATTGTTTTACTTGATCATCACAAAAAGTGCTTTTCTTTTAGGTGTTGTCCTTTTGGTTATCACATACCTATGAATGTGTATTACTAAATTACCTCATAATTAAACTTAACACAAATGCCTGAGTCTCCTCAAATTCAATAAAGAGTCATACTGAGAAGAAGCCTTTGGTTGCAAAGCGTGTGCTGTGCTGGTCCCAGGAGACAGGTTGAACCTCAGACTGACAGGAGCAACAGCCTGACCCCTTGAGCAGCATACGAGGCATTCTTCTTCTCTCTGTTGTTATTTTTCACAGCCAACCTTCAAGGTCAGGACACCTAAAGCTCGGGTGGTCCGAGCCCTTTATCTGCTGAGCATGTGTGTCATCACCAGACCCAGGAGCTACAGGCTTAGCTGACAGCTTCAACGATGGTCAACCCAAAGTTTGTCATATTTTTGAGTCTTAAATACCTTGTGAGTGGGTGATGCTGAGATCTACCATAAAAATATGTAATTAGATTTTTTGATTATGTAATACAAGATTATGTGTCTTTGCCAAAACTTTATATAGTGAAGTGCTCTCAGTCTAGCCATGTTGCGTGTAATTTGACAATCTGTGACAACATCACTCTGAGAGTGCAGGCTGTCAGCAGCAGCAGAGGGCACAGCTGCAGGAGCAGACTGTGATAAATAGGAGAGAGACAAGGCATCAAAACAAGCCTCCAGTGAGATATATGCATTTACCAGAGTAATGCAGTCACTGAATCACTGAAGATGACAGGATGGTCTTAGGAGGGATCAGTGTGAGGTACGGTGCCACTACACGAGGCCAGCAACCATATTGAGCCCCAAACCAGGTGCTAAGAGGCCATGCGTGTTAACCTTTCACAAACTGTCAATACATCAGTATGACAGATGAAGGGTGTAAGGCAGGGACAACTGTTGGATTTGGGACATTGATGAAACAGACATTGCCGATAGGAGCTAACAAAGAAATACATTTTTGTTCATTTATGTCCTGTCCAATACCCCATCTTTAGTCACTTGCTCATCCATACAAGTAAGTAGTTAATTTGATAAGCTCACAGCATACAGACAGCAGCTGTGCCAATTTTACAGAGCACTTGTATTAATATTTGATATTAGTAATCTCCAGCATCACAATTTGCTTTCTAGGTAAACCAATGGTGCTGGAATGTTTGTGCAAGTATTGTTTTTCAGGACAGTGTCAGAATGGAGCACCATAGTGGCCTTGTAGAGGTGTTGGATGCATCAACAAGCTGTCAGTTCAGTGATAAATGCTAGTGGAGAGGTCATGTCCTGCTATTAACTCACCCAATACTCAACTGTAGAGTGTCACCATTTCATCATATACAGTGAGCGCAGAATCTAATCTGAAGATTTTTCTTTCTGAAGCAAGGCAGACAATATAGATCAGCTTGTTAGAGAGTTTAATAGTTGTTTTTTTGTTTTGTTTTGTTTTTTTATAATAGTAGTGCATTTGAGGGAGTGGATTCCCAGTGAAATGATGTCAGGCCTTTACATCATGTGTTGTCAGTTCACAAGGTGAGGACATGCAGGCACACGGCCACAGCTCTCTGTACACACCTCCAATCAACAGAAATATTTCACATGCATGTAGCATGTATGTGAACATACATATATGCATTACACCGCAATAATAAACCACCTAACATATGTACTTAAAGTAATCACCTTAACATGCCTCTCTGAGCCTCACTGCTTTTGAAGTATGACATCACACGACAAGTATTTTTATGTATACACATAACGTATAACAGTTATCTATTTTTATCTTTGAGTAAGTGTTTTTATCTCACATGTGGAGAGCTGTGGAGGCCTGAATAGTCTAAAACTGTTCAGTTTGAGTTAATTTAAGTCAGTGGCCTCTCTCTTCTGATTATTTGTCATGCACATATTACGATAAATGGGATATGATTCACACTTATACGTGTGAGGCACAACTTTTATGTTTGCTACTGTAGATGAGTCACAGAGTGCAATAGTGAACACATCACATCACAGTGTGTACACAGTCTGGTTCAGATGGGGCCAGAGTCTGAATTAAATTCTTTGGATGAATTATAATTATTCTTTTGTTTTAATAGTTGGAAAAGCAGCTTCCTTAGTCAAACCTTGATTCTTGATTCTTCTTCATTTCTAACAAAGCAAAAATGACCACAAAGTAAAACCAGATGTGTGTGGCTTGCTCCTGAAAATGTGCAGTGAAATTGTCATAGAGCCTAATTTAGTTTAATGGCTGTCTTTTATGGTTGTCGTCCAGGCACTTTGTATAGGGGACACCAAACGAATGGAGCGTGTAGAAACCGGAGCGCTTACCTCAGTAGGTATACATGCATCACAGCCATGTTGGGTCTCCATTTCATCCAGTTAAGATGTCACTCATCCCTCATTTCAGAAGTTTCATAAATGACAAACCAGGAATGAACTGATTTTTAGAACATAAGGTTATGTTATCTCAGGCCATGATATCTCAGGCTGCAAAAATATATAACTAAATCCTACCTTAAATTATTATTTGTTGAATAGGTCAAATGCTCCAAGCAATATTAGCTGATGTAACAGTCAGAGGGTGCAAATGGGCCTTAACCAAAAACACGATTGTCTGAAACAGTCTGTACAAACACAAGCCAAAAAGGAATACAACCTGTATCCGAAAGCTTTTATGGATTTGTTTTATTGAAGTATCAAAATTTACAACCCCAATTCTTCACAGGGGAAGATTTTATAGCCCTCTCAAACTGTCGTTGCCAGGTTCTCATATGTTTCAGCAAATTCCTTTTGACAATATTCAAAGAACGTGAGGAATTTACAAAAAGGACAATGTGCAAACACAATGATTAAAGTGGTGTTTATGTAGCATCTGAGGTTATTACCAGCCACATTAACACAGCAATCTGTGCAATCTTGTATTTACTTATAGTTTAATCACCCAAGATGGAGTTGAGCATGTGGATTTGTTACTTTATTTAAACAGTTGCACCATGCTATAAAACTGTCACCACTATTAATCTACACCACATAAAGTATATAATGATGTTAAGGCTGCATCCCCATTTGGCTCATGTTGCATCATGTAAGTATTTGCTTTCATGAGTTTTGGCAAGTTCATACATTATGACAACTATATTCCCCTGATGCCCAGTATTTACCAGTAAGTGAGTTATACATCGTCAATGGCTGCAATTTAATGATCAGATCTACAACCACTGCAACCGGTCTTTAAAAACACAACCTGATCGAGACGTAACATATACACAAAAGAAAAAGTTTGTAACTAGATCCGTTGAGAAACAGATATTGCCACTTTGCAGCCCAGCTGTATTGCAGTTTTTAGAAGCCAGTATCCAGGTATCTACAATAAAGAATTGAATTAAATTAAAATTGAGTTTAAAAAATATTATTCGCCTGAATTAATTTAATAAGAGGGTATTCAGACATGAAGGCATACTTACAGTTTCAGCATCATGCTCTAATCCTGTGTCATGGTGCTCCATTTCATCATCCCTGAACTCCTTTATTACCTATCAGAGGCACACAGAGTTAGTTAGCCTCTGTTCTTAACATTATTTCATCAGTTCAGTATGGTTTCCAAACTTGAAATTTTAAATCAAACTGACAGCTGCTGTACTTTCAAGCTGCATGAATGTTAATTAGGGTTTAATGTTGAAAAATGAATTATGTTATTGTGCCCACTTTCACAAAGAATGTATGGTGTTAAATTAAAGACATGCTGTCAAACTTTAAATTATATCTTAAAATCATCTCAGGACCTGGGCAAAGGGCTACACTGTCACTCTGTGAAACCTCTAGTTTAATGTAACAGATGCAGAAGATGCAGTCTTACTTGTAGGAGTTCAGTGTATCGTTCTGGGTCTTTCTCCATGAGAGCTCTGATCTGACTGTTATAGTGTTCTGTAATGCTTTCTTCAACAGCCACAGTGCAGGCCATAGCCCCCTCTTTCCCCAGTAAGGCAGTAGATGCTCCTGCAATGTAGGTAACCTCATTACATGAGCAATATAACAATGTTTATTTGTAGTGGACCAGTCATTTATTAACACATTAACTCATTATAATTTGTACTTGAACTAATGTAATCAAAACAAACCTAAAACAAATCCTGCAATGTTCCAAAGAGGAAGAAGCGCTGTAGGGCGAACTCTGTTCTCAGCAAGTATTTCATTAAATCTCTCAAGGTGCTTCTTTTCTTGATTCCACATCTCCTGAGTAACCAAACAAGAGTGTGAGTGTGAAATTAATTTGCACACAACGTCCCTATAAATCATATCGTCACCTGGATTAGAGGTCCGCTCTGAGACCGTCTCAACACTGACATTTGTCCTGCGTAGATTCGGTTGGCCCCATATTCACCCGCGTGATCCACTCGCAACATCCGATCCAACATCTCTTTCTCATCGCTGTCTCGTGGGGGCGGAATCACGCTATGACACCGTGAACTCACCACCAAAGGGGGCACTAGAACAGATCATGTTTAGAGAAGAGTGCATATAATTAACATTTGCAGAGCGTATTGCCGAATAAGTCCATTTGTGCCAAGCAGTTCTCTCTATTTAATCAAGATAAAAGCACGTCTCTAAAAACGTTTACTTACTCAGTATAATAGTTATTTTAATAGATCTATGCTCTCTTGTGAACTCTTGTTTTTAGCATTTGCTAAGCTAACACCATTATTTAACAGTTTTGGAGAAAAAAAATAGCCTTCATGTTACCCGTGAGTTTCAAAAACTGTCGAATCGTAAGCGGAGCGAATGCAGCTAATCCGGCGTGTGTGGCTTGCTGCATAGCTGGGAAATGTTAATATTAAATTAATAGAAAAGCAACTAATGTTACTAGTGCAACTGTCATTGAACTGTCAGGCGAGTGTGGCGCAGGGGTATGACGTCACTACCGGGCGACCAGTGTTAATTTGACATTTACCCATGGATCTATTATGATTTACCCATGAGAATGGCAATAAATCATTTATCCCTAATATCTGCTATATCACCCCTACTGATTTAATCGAATACCTTCCTGGCTCTACACAGGTAAAATATGGTCAACTTGCTGTAAAAATCAAAATATAATTGTGTAAAAACGAATATTTTCTATGGGCCATTATGTGTTAAAATGAATTAGCTGTCTAACTGAATGGTAGTGCTATGCTTTTGTTGTAAGTACATTACTATTTCTAAGTAAATTACTGCTCACTCTCTAAAGATGGCAGTATTGTACAGCATGTACCTTAGCTGAGACACTTCACTTTAGGATACTTTTGCTGTAGGCCTACTTGTTCAAGTTACTTTACTTACTACATTTCCTACAGACATAAGCTATATTTTGTATATGCCATTTCAAGTGAATATGGGGCGTAAATTACTTCCTTCTTTACAAATGAAATATGTGTGCAGGACACAGGGACAGAGGAATCTGAGGAATGAATGGTGTCTCGGCTGCTGGCTGTGATAGTTCTGGGTGCTGCTCCCTGTGTTGGTTTGGTCTGTATGTGTTTGTGGCGAGACACTGGTTATGTGCTTCCCTATCTGTCTGTCTGACTGTGGGTGGTTACACATGTGTGGCAACTATATGGTATGGCCTACGTGTGCTTTGCTTTTTGTCCTTTCTGACCCTAATGAGGACAAGATTTCGATTCAAGTGTTAGGCTCGGGCTGGATAAATGTTCACCTGACCACTTAATAATATACCTTTGTGTTTGGGAAGAAAGCAAACAAACACATCAGTGCACTGAATATAAATTAGAAAGATTGACTTATTTCTTGTACAGTTTATTTTAACATTTGCCAGGGGTATAAGCCTAGTGTATATTGTGTCCATGTTCCGCATTCATTAAAAGTAAATGAGGGGCATCCAATGTCAAAACTTATGATGAAGATCCATGCAGATCTGCACCATTTTTCCCCCTTATTCCAAGTACGCCTCAAGGTCTTCCAGCTTTACCTTTTGATTAGATATCTAATACCTTGAACTTAATAACTTTGTAACAAATAAAGAAGACAATCATTACACTGTTTGCCTAAGGTGCCTTCTTCATGGTCAGGCAAAGGAATTCTTCAATTAGGTGGTGCTGATGGTTTATTTTTCAAAAGTCTGGGTAAGACTAGACTTCTTTGCAGAGAGACATTAAAGAATGTCTGACAGGTGAACCAGTCATCCTCCAAAAACAAACTTTCTCTTCTATGTGAAAGTATAGACAGCATTAGGTAAGCACTATCTGGGGTGCAATGAAAAGAAGGAAAGGAGGTCTAGTGCAGAGGAGCAATGACAAATGGATTAAAGAACCAACCACAACCAGAGGGAAGCTCAAATATATGCACCTTTACGCATATTTGGCTTTCACTTTGTTTATGCGATGTTTGCATGCATCCATGGACCTGCAGTCTGCACACCCTTGCTCCAAGGCTCTGGCCAGACGGTGCATAGCTGTGGTGGGACACGGGCTCAGTGCGTCAACAATGTCTGCACTCACTAAAAAGAGACGTGATAGGTCTTGTCTCATTTAAGGCCTGGTGTGGCAGGACACCCAGAGCTGGCTTTGTGACAGTCTTGTGTATTTAATATAAGATTCAAATATATGTGTGTTTTACATTCATAATTGGACTCATAATTGTCCTTAACAAATTCTCGACTTAAGGGTTGTAGCCAATTAAATTGGTGTCCGAAATGGACTTAAAGATCCACCCAGTTATATTTCCCTCCTTAATTTTTTCCATTCTATTTTCCTCCTTTATGCCTTTCCTAAACCGCAAGTGCTATGACAGTGCCTAAAGGGAAAAGTAAAAAAGGGTTGCATAGAGTGTTTTGTTTATTGAGATCCCCCATTAGCATATTTCTCTTTTTTTTTGTTTATTTCAAATACAGTGTTTTTAAATATTATTTGTCCTTTTGTATGCTGTGATTTGCAGATGGTTTCACACATTTAAATTGGAAGACCTTCCTAATAAACCCAACATTTGTCTATCCAGGTAAAACCCTCAGTAACCCTATTAACGTCTACCTTATTACCTGACTTCCACATCCTGGGCAGCCAAACTTGCTTTAAGTGTAGGACTACTTCACAAAATGGGCTGGCTAATAAGGCTCATGGGACAAACTTGAACCTTCAATATATCTTTGGTCCACAAGAGAGTACTGAGATAAACAAAAAAATAACTGTTTTGATTCAATTTTGCCCTAAATAATTGCTAGTTAAGAGGGTTTAAATGTATATAGTCCAGTGTCTTCCTCCAAAGTTATGAGGGTGTGCTCTAAACCACATGCTTTTACTGACAGGACATGCACTAGACCATGATTAAAATATGATTGCACAGCCCTACTTTACCTAACATTGATAACATCCATTGATACATTTACATTTTAATCCACAAAGGGACAACATTCTGAAATCACATGGAACACTGGAATTGTAAGTTAGTCATTGTTTTTACCATTTGCCTCCTATATTCGGTTTAAGTTAAAAAGTGCCAAGTTTGCAGAAAATGTCCAGAGGTGCTTGTGGTTTTCTGTGTTGCCTTTTGGCAGAAGCTTTGCACGTTTATGACCATTTTGGTTAATTTATGATGTTGTAAATTTTGCTGGTGATATTTGTACTTGGGCGTTCTTAATATTGGAGTACAAGGCATTTCACTGGAAATTAAGATGGTTAACATGGAGTAGCAGCTTTTTATTAATGCTATTTGTTCTAGATGTGAAATTAAGTTATGCAACATTGTGAGCAAACAAGTTTTTATAGGTTGTTGCTATTCTTAAATAGAGGTTTTCCCATAAAGTCCATTCAATCAAGATTTATTTTATAACTTGAAAATCAACAATGTCTCCCAAAAAGCCACCTAACTCTATTATTGAATTGTTTACACTTATCTTGTTGCCCATTCAGACCAAGTTAAGTCCCTGCCTGTTTTTTCACGGACACTGGAGAGTGAATTTAGCTTTGTCTGGTACAAGTTAAATGGCCCTTGTCTGTCTGGCTGTGTGCCCTGTGTGATTTTTTACGAGGGGATAAGATAATGCCTTAAAGTGCTGCTTATGCCAAAGAAAGACAGAGCTGGCACATGTTCAAGCAATCACTGTCAAGTTGTGGAGTGATTTTCTGAATGAAGCAGTTAGATAATAGCTAGTTATGGTACGAGGTCAATAGAGAAAACACACGAGACTGCAATGGGAGCATGTAAACAAGTTCGGGAAAGTGAGTTTAAAATACAGGAATTGGATTTGTACCTCTAAGGCAAGTTGAAGTTTATATAAAGAAGAGTGTTTATATGAATTACCTGGTTACATTGAGATCTAAGGAGAACAGTATACACATGATGTCTAACACAGAAGTGTATAAATTTAGTCAAACAATCCATTTACAGGGTGTGATGGCCAGACAAGCAGCACTTGTGCTACAAAACCATTCATTTAACTAGCATTTCCTGTTAGCCGCAGGATGTGGCTCCTTCTCGTTGACTGACTAATCCTATATGGTTTTCCGGAAGTCACGTTTTGAACTCTCTTATTTAGGAAGAGAAAAGTGCAGAGTAGAATAAAGATGAACATGGTGGTAGGAGTGCACAGGATTGTTGTTAATTCTGAATATTATAGCAGAGGTGCATTATTCAGTAGCATATTTGGTTTTGTTTTACTACAAACACGTATGTAACTTGAGAATTCGTGACCTCATCAGATCTTGGAAGCTAAACATGTTTGGGCCTGGTTAATACTTGGATGGGAGATCACTATGGGCAGCAGAGACTCTAGTTGTTGTTGTGTCCTTAGGGAAGACACTTCACCCACCTTGCCCTGTGATACTAAAAGTCTTTGTTAAACCACTTCTTGTGCAGTGAATATGAAACACACCCATTTTAATCATCAAAACAATGAAAACATCATATGTGTTGCATAAACAAGTTTCCTTCTTCTGAACAAGCAACAAAACTTTAGTGCTGTAACAAAATAATTTAGTCAAATATGCCAAAAAATACTCTTAGTGATATATCAATACAGCAGCCCATGATATTGGTATTGTATCATCACATTAAACAATACAATATTTCAATATTTTTTCACACCCCTATTCACAAACTGGAGAGTGCTTTTCTACTTTATTATGAGCCTTTCCTTGAAGAGAATCTAACCAATTCTATAATTGTAAAACAAGACCATGTAAAAGTGTTAAGGCATATTTTCCAAGGACATAAAATGAATAGCAAAGCTGTCGCTGGGGCAATTATTTGCGGTATAAATATAAAAAAAAAATGTTATAACAACAAAAACAGCCCGTGGTATAAAAAGTGCTAGTCATCACTACATGTTTTGACCACATTGTACTCATGCCATTTGTTTTCCAGCCTAAAACGTAGAGGAATGTTTTTACAGTGCACAGGGAGTGGAGGATTTCTTAATAAACGTCACTGACAACCATAATCCTTTACTCCCACTCAGTTTGTCCAAGAAGTATTTTTAGAAAGCGAAGTTTACAGTGCAAGTTAAGAGAGGAATTGTTTTTGTTGATGGCTGTCTTACCACTTCACTGGAATGACTCTTGATGAGTTGGTGGCTTGTACGTCACAATGGCCTGGAGTGAGTGGGTGTTCGGCTCCATGCTCTATTAAGAGGAGAGCCAAAAACGCAGATTATGGCCAACAAGTCTCAGGGGAGCGTCCCATTGATTTCCACTTGCTGCTATTTAAGATCTGTGAAGATCTGTTTTGAGTTAAGAATGAAACCACGGCATCCTATTAAGCACTGTTAAGTAACTGTGCTGTGTTTACTCAGAAGAAAGACCTGTTTTTTAAGGCTTACAGAAGCACATGCACAAATCTTGACATCTCCAGACAGATGAATAAATAAAACAGACACCTGTAGTAATTGTTTAAAGTAGTT